TATGAATTTTGCATTGTCTCTCACCTGCATGACAAACTGGCAGGCTTCAGTCCCCGCTTGCTGTCACAAAGAGAAGAAAATGAGCAGGGAAGCAGCACAGGCAGCAGCATTTTAAATGCAGATAATGCAGATGGGTGGATGTCCCGTCCCTAGAAGCATCCAAGGTCAGGCTGGACAGGGCTCGGAGCAACCTGATCTAGCTGAAGATGTCCCTGCTTGCCGAAGGGGCGCTGGACTAGCTGGCCTTTGAAGATCCCTTCCAACCAAACTGTGAGATTCTATAATGCTAGAAAGGGAAGCCGAGGGCAGCGCAGCAGGGGACTGAAAACCAACTACTCCCTTGACTTTGACTCGGCTCCTCGGCGCCTACATGCTCCTTCGCCGCCGGCTGCTGGGTTTTAATTACAATTAAGCTTGCTCGTGGAAAACAAAGCAACAAATTAGCACAAACATAGAACCTGCTCTTTTCCTGACACCTACAAGGCACGAGGCTGCCTTCAAGGCAGACAATGCGCTCAGCAGGCTCAGGGCCATTTAGAGCATGTGGTGTAGGAAAGGGCTTTGCAGCTTATGCCGCCACTGAGCTTTTCACCTTGCAGAGCTGATGGGGGAGCACATGAAACCTGTGCCATGAGGCTCACTGCTCTGCTTTGGGCATCTCCCAGGAGATGCCTGCCTGCAGCATCCCATCCGCTAGGATGTGCATCCAACACTGGGGTCTGCTGCACCCCAAGGACACAATGCATTGGACCCCATGCCAAGGGGGAATTCCACACCTCCACGTCAAGATGGTCTCCTGGCCCTCCAAACAAGGAGAACCAAGGTAGGGCAGCGCCGGAGCAGCATCCCCATGCCCTGCATCCACCAAGCACTGGGGCTTGGCAGGTAAGAGCAGATCTCCAGCGCCAGAGCAAGACATGGTGTGTCTAATCCAGCTAATGAATTCTGCTGAACATCTTTCCTGCTATAATTTGAAAGGAAAGTTGAATGCCTCATATTTTCAAGTGATTTTAAATCCGGAGGGTGATACAATTGTCTCGGTATTACCAGGTGCCTTCCTCCGTGGGCTGGGATTCGTCACACTAAAATTAGGCATTTAGAAGTGCCTGTTCTGGGCGAGCTGCACAGACTCTGATCAGTGCACACGGGCTTCAGAAGGGCTGATCCATGCCACTGAAAGCACAGAGACCCCAACTGAGGGATCCTCATCTGAGCCTGCAATCCCTCTGCTCTCAGAGCTGTCAGGAGCCATGGCAGCAGGATACTGGGGTGGGAGAGCATCCTCCTGCCCTCCCCACTGCAGCCTTCCAGCCAGCTCTGTGGCTGCAGAGAGCAGCCCATCCCCGCGCCTGGGTGCGAGGCCACCAGCCTGAAAGGAAGCAGATATGATTCAGAGCCTGGTTAATGGGAAGGAGGATTATGCAAACGAGCAGCTTTTGGCAGGGCTGGAGCAGCAGAGGCAAGAAGGAAGCGAGGAGCTGTCGGTGCCGTCATAAATCAGCTGGATTTACAGCCCCCGTGCGAGCCAAAGCCGATGCTCCTGACTGCACACAAACCTGGTTGCAGCTCCCACCACAGTAGGAGAAGCGCCCCAAGATCACCTTCACAGCAGGATTGCCTGCAGTACAGGCTGCTGATGCATTATCCAGCATCCCTGGTCTGCAAGAAAAGGTTTGTTAGAAGGGCTGGACAATTCCAGATGGCTAACTCAGGACTAAATCCCCCTCTGCTCTTGTGAGGCCCCACTTGCAGTACTGAGCACTGTGCTGGTGTTCCCAGCATAAGAAGGACATGGAGCTGTTGGAGCAAGTCCAGAGGAAGCCATGAGGATGCTCAGGGGCTGGAGCACCTCCCATATGAAGACAGGCTGAGAACATTGGGGCTGTTCAGCCTGGAGAAGAGACGCTGTGTGGAGACCGCATAGCAGGTTCCAGTGTCTGG